AGTTTCGGTCGCTCGATTTTGAATTCTAGAAATTTCTTAGTTTTTGAGATTCACACAAACAATGTCGTGCTGAAAATTTGAATTTCAAGATAAAGTAACCTGAACGACTCAAAACATGTTTCTTATGGGTTTTCGACAATGCTCTTTCCAGTGGCATCGTCTTTAAATATTGAGAAAGTTTTCTGAAGGGTTTTCCAGAGATCGGATCTCTGAAAAACTCTTTAGAAAACTTTTTCAAAACCCAACTCTCGTGCCATTAGAAAGAGGATCATGAAAAACCTATAAAAAAATGGTTCATGAAATTTTAGTTCCCTCATAAAGCTAAAGTCCGCCTGCTCTAGCAAAAAATGCCCACTGTGTGGTATGTTCCTGCAAAAGTATATGTCTGTAATTCTCCAAACAATGTTCTCGTTCTTCTGTATCTTTCACCTTGAAAAACTTGCAACAGATGTTTTCATATAGTTTGTCATTTGCATTATGTTCTCAAATAAATTCCAACTTCATCTTAGAGCACTTAACCCGATTTTTCAACTAATTGATCAGCATTACGTAATATTTTAACTTTCAAATTATATTTGTAGCGGATTTCTGGAGTAGACCAACATGACCTTTTGATATTTGTATAGATTTTTCAGCAATATCACAAGTATTTTCGACATCTCCAAAATTCTGCTGAATTATTTATTGTCTTCTCATTAATATACGTTATAAAATAATAATTTTAAAAACTCACACTTAAATAAGTTGCATTTCAATCAATGTTCGTGCGTAATTTTATTTCTTTCATTTATACATAATTGATTGAGCTGATAACGGAAATATATGTTTGAATTTTTTGAAAAACTAAGAATATTTTCTCAATCGTAGTGTGCTGCACTTTTCTGCTGAAAAAGAAACGAAACAAATAAATATGTTTGAATTATAATGTTTCTTTTTCCTATGGATTCTCTTCTTATTAATATACTTTATGAAATAATAATTTCTTTTTTATGCACTTATTATAGACCGATGAAGTCATCTAATGATAGATTTTTTTATTCTATCAAAAACCTATGTACAGTGTGATTTAAGACGAAATATCTTCGCATAGAAGTAGCATATCCAGCACATATTTGTGCATATGTCTGAGAGCCCGCACTCAGGGCTATCCATAGAATAATTCCTTTTAATAACAAAAAAGAAAACGAAAAAAGCACTTTCAATTTTTCTTTTTCTATTTCACCTTCATAAATATCTGAATATCTATCGAGGTAACATATGCAAGTGTGAAATCGCTTTTTTCACTAAACCTAGTGGATCATAGGTAATCGATCGTGCTGATTTCGAATATCAACATGAAACAGGCTGCTAGGCCTTCGGAGCTTCGGTTCTGGAAAACTGGTTTTCTACACACAAAACGTTTCTCAGACAAGAAAGTTTTTGCTTTCTTCGGATTGTAGAGCACGTTGAGTTGTCCATAAAAATGTATTTTTCAACATTTTAAGCCTTTGTATAGCGAGAAAAATAAAAAAGAAGAAAGAGACGCTAATGATACATTATAGAGAAAAGGCAGTTTTTATTCTGCCTAACAACCTTAAAGGAACACTCGAGTGCTCTCACAATCTCTAGCTAGTTGGACCATTACTGACAATGATCTGCTATACATTCTAACTGTTCGCTTTGGTCCAAAGGTTTCGATTCAGAACAATGCAAAATAATCTGGATTTTTTACACTTATTTTTCCTAACATCATTCCCTTGTTAAGTTACATTTTCTAAAGCATTCATCCAATTTCATGTTCTTTCTTTTTTCGGGTTACTAGTCTATCTAAATATAGTTCTAAAGCTTCACAAACTTATTAGTTCGGTGTAAGATTTTTTCTTTAAAATAATATTTATTCATTCAAAAGGTAAGTTCACCTTCATTGGAATTGGGCACTCCTCTTGTGCTCGTCGGTTTCTTCGCACTGACAGATTTAAATCGATGTAGAAGAGCCTTCCGCATTGTTCTAACTACTGCTCACAGCGATTTTTTTTTGTATAGCCAGATGAATCCTGCCAACATTGTTCAGTGTCTAGCAGAGCTAGTGAACACAAACTTGAATTTAACTCAAACAGATTTTACACAGAAAGGGCGAGAAGTGGCTCAAAACCTCTCAGAAACAATCACATCCTTCACTAACTGTCATCAGTTTCATTATGAAGAAGATACTACCGTGGATCTAGATGAAAATTCAGACGTCTATAGTGATAGTGATAATGAAAAACCGTATCAAGAGATTGGCAGTAGCGATAAAGCGGACGACAAATGGGAAAATAAAGAAAATGACGTAGAACCACGTCATTTTTCAGATTATTCTGTAGAGTTCATGAAAGCAGTTGTAGCATTCGCTGATGAAACAAATGCGTCTGGTAAACGTCGAAGATCTTGGAAAATAGTGCTTGGAAAACGCTGCCCGGTTCCTAGCTGTTGGTGTGTGAGATCCGTTAATCGATTCCGATACAATTTAGATTTTGGATCGACGGACGTCTTTGACTTATTGACTGAAGCGCATTCCTTTTAAAATACGTCACTTTTCCCGTCACATTCATTTAAATTGAAGTCTTTTCATATTTCAGCCGAAACTCGTTGAGTTAAAAACCATGTCGCAAGTCGAGAATACTTCTCTCTTTTTACTTTTCAGATTGAAAACTAAGGATAAAACACGACTTTCTCTATGATGTATCTTTGGCATCCCTTTCTTCTTTTTTATTTTTCTCGCTACACAAAGGCTTAAAATGTAGAAAAATACATTTTATGGACAACTCAACGTGCTCTACAATCTGGAGAAAGCAAAAGCTTTCCGGTTGAGAAACGTTTTGTGTCTAGAAAACCATTTTCCAGAACTGAAGCTCTGGAGGCCTGACAGCCCGTTTCATGTTGATATTCGAAATCAGCATCATCGATTACCTATGATCCACTAGGTTTGGTAAAAAAAGCGATTTCACACTTGCATATGATACCTTGTAAGAGGCCTATAAAATATGAACCGACACAAAATGTAAATATCTAAACACCTCGTTGTCTACGAGGCTCTAAAATGTGAACCTGTACAAACTGTAAGTATCTAAATATCCAGAAGGGGACACTTTTTTTTCGCTGTAGGAAAAAATGTAGACTGCAGAAATGAAAGGAACATAGGTACATTTTGGTCATGACACCTTTTAACATGAATTGAATCAATATCTATTCTCATAGTCCTGACATATTCCGTTTTCTTGACCGGTTGTAAGTATTCTTGATCATAATGTTTTTAATAAACAACTACAACGAATAGGCTGTAAATAACGCACCAATAATGCACAATATAGATCAAATATTTTTTACGTTTCTTGTCAAATTCAACGCGATATTCAGAGGCAAAAAAGTCGAAATTCTGCCCATAATTCTCAATTTTCTCGATCAGAACTCAACTTTTGAGCATTCAAATTATCGCATACGGTATCAGGATCAAAAACTGACTAGAGTGATGTGAAATTTTTAGTTGATTTTCAGTTCTCGGTGAATATCCTGGAAATTTTTCAAAACCGAAGACTTGGTTTTCTAGCATTCAGGTTTTATAGAAACCCTGGTATCCGGTTTCCTAATAAAATGGCGATATGCATCTCATCTGACAGAAAAATCTAGGGTAGACATCAAGTACTACCTACCCTGAAAAAATCACGGTTTCATCTCTTCTCATTTACGAGAAAAACCACATACGTTTTTCACACGTATAACTTCTCGAACTCTGCTCCAGTCGAAAATATTTCATATCTATAGAACGAAAAGTTCGGGAAGACTAAAAGTTTGGATTTATAAGTTTTCAAATATGTTCTACAAGATGAGACTACTTAGAAAAAAATCTGAAATAGTCATTGAGCGCGCTTCTGTGAGAAACAGTCGTCTTTCTCGTACAATGGCTTCTCGTAGGAGATAAAATTTGGGGAATTCTGAAATATCTCCGAATCTATTGATACTTGAATTTCAAAATTCGACTGAGAAACAGCTAAAGATCGTCGTAGCAGTCAATCTTAATACTTTTATTAGAGAATTTTTGATACAAACTCATTTCTGTTCTCTTAATTTCCATTTTGTTTTTTTATAGTCCATCTTATCACTGTCGAGTTTATACCAGAGACATGAACATCATGAATAAATGACTAAATGATCCAATTCAAGTGATCTAGGCAACTTTAAATTTGACTAAATTTCGCTTTTGCTATAACATGTATACAGAAAAATGAACGCCTTCATTGAAGTTCTTTTTGTTTTTTCCTCTGTCTTCTTTTTCTTTGTAAATGTGTCGATTCAATGAATGAAAAGATGAAAAAAAGAAAATAATTGTGTATCTATAGATAAAAAATATCAATAGAATGTCAGTTATTACATTTGTAATGTCAAGCAGAAAATGGAATGTGTAACCTGTATGTGGTCCGAGAAACAAAAACACGATATAATCCATTTCCGGATCATCACTACTAGAATAATTGGCCTTAGATATATTAGAAAGTAATGGTGAAATATTAATTATGAATAATGACAGTACTTCGAAAAAACAGCATATTTATTTAAGACATTTAAAAAATGAATTCCAAGAATTATTAACGTTTCATCCACAGGAATGGTTAAATGGACTTAAACCTAATCGAAATTATCCGTTATTTCTTCGAGGTGATATCGATGGATTTATAACACTATTTATTAATAATTTAGCTACTTTATTAGCTGTTGTTTTAAGTTTAACACCTATTCTAGGCGATCAAATTGTCTATGGAAGAATTTTACCAGGGTAAGATGGATCCGATTGAAAAGGGCTAGAATTTGAAAATTTAAATAAAATTCTCTCACTAAAAGGTATTCCCATGTTGTTCGAACTACTATCGTCCAGTTGAATATGTAGAACAGTTGTCTCTTCAATAGAATTGTTTTTATCGAACTTTCGAATTTTTTGATGACCCGCCGTAGAAACTAGGCAAATCATACATTGACCGTTTATTAATACTTTTCATTTCTAATTATAACCTAAATGGGATGATTTTATAATTATCCTTCAGATCGCTCTTTTAACATAAGTACCTTCTGTTGTAAAATGACATTTTATATCTGAGGAGTAAACTCGAATCACGCAATTCGCAGCCTCCATTATGCATCGTTCGTCAGGTTTCCGGTATGTTTCTAATTCTTTTCTGAAAGCAAACATTGCCATGAGATTTGTGATTGGCGATATACCTACCATTTCTGTAAGATGATATAGTTCTTTGCAGTATTTTTATTTTAGACTTCGCTCCACCGACTTTTTTTTCAGCACGAATTAGAGAAATTTCTAAGGATGGTGCGATGCGTACGTTGCTGTGGTCCATATGCTCTGTTTGCATTAGGTTTCCAGGAAGCCCCGTACAGTGTGTGATGGAGATCTGCCTATTGTTTACAAGATAGTCGCTGGTTCGAGTTTACTCCTCGAATATGAAAGTCCATTGGAATCTCCGTAGCTGACAATATCCTCAAAAAAGGATCGATCAGATACACCATCTCTAAATGGTTGTCCCAGGTTGAATTTTTTCATAGGTCAACATATCCTGGTGTGTGCGGTATCACAACGAAAACTGTGGGTCTCTCTCTGACCTTCCAGTCAAAAGTTGTTCAAAAAACAACGAGATACGCTATGTTTTAACTCCCATTGTAATTCTCCTACAAAAGAATATTTATTTACGAAATCTGTAATAGTATCGATTGCATTGACTTGAAAAATTGTTCCATTCCTAGGAGAACAAACACAGATAAGGAAAGAATGAAACTCTATGTTTGATCAAAGTTAATAGTATAAAATGTTCAGATTATTGTCTTTATAGTTTAAGAAAACCTTTATGCCTCTCACCATACCCTTTTTCTTCTGTTTAAGCGGTTTTCTCACTACAGCGATGAAATTCACCTTACAACATTTTAAAGGCATTCATTTTCTCACTTTTATCTAGTTTTGGTCTATCAATGTGTTTTGGCAATGTTTACTATGTATATATGGCAAGAAAATTGGCATGGAAAGAAAATCGCTCGGATGTTTGTGCACAACCTTATGGAATTAATACACCTGGTGCGTTTGCATTTATTTATAGTATAATTTTTCCAACATATTATAGTTGTTTACAGCAACATTTCTCGATTGATTATTGTCGTGATCTATCTTTTTATGTTGCGTTAGCTAGTAATTTTGTTACTAGTTGTATTCTATTAGTTTTATCGTTATTCGGTGAATATATTCGGCGTTATACACCTGGTGTCGCTCTTCTTTCGTCAATATCGGCACTCGGTTTTGTTTACCTCGCACTGAACGAGTTTTTAGAAATGAATACAGTGCCTATTGTTTCATTCGTTCCATTTGCTATTGTGATGATTGGATATCTTGGCAATGTTAAATTTGGTCCTTTGCCTGTCGCACTCGTTGCTCTCATTAGTGGAACAGCTCTCGCTTGGATTTGTCAATTAAATACTGGTCATGCTGTTGTTGAAGCAAGCAAGTTGATTAAGGGTTATGCACCGGTATTTCCCGTTAAAGAAATGTTCAAAAATTTGGCTAATATTGGTCCGTATCTTTCAACGTCAATTCCGACAGCTATTTCGATCGCAGTTGGAACAATACAATGTGTTGAATCGGCTAAGCGAAATGGAGATTTTTATCCAACAAGAGAATCGTTGTTAGCCGATAGTATAGGAACATTGACCGCTGCTCTATTTGGATCGATTCTGGGCATGACAGGTATGTCAAAAAATCCGTTTATGTGCTTTTTTGATCTGAACAACATTATTTTGAAATGAACTAACTAACGAGGGAAGTAACCCCAACTGATAAATCGCTTTTTCAACGAAATCGAGTGGACTATAGGTAGTCGACGATGCTGATTCCGAATATCACCATGAATGCTGCTGATAGGCCTTCAAGAACCGATCTTCTGGAAAAC